ATGAGTATGAGTAATAATAAATTGTGATAAAAATGTGTATGAGAAAATGGAGGAAACAATACTGTGTATTTCATAGGCTTAAGGAAATGGTCTTGTTTGACCACATTGTTTTATTCCAAAATACATAGAGGCTGTTTTTTCCTGATCTAAATTTCTATGTCACTATAAATTCATAGTTGAATATATAGGTTTGTTAGCTTCATAGCTCTAGGCATCTAAATATATTCACTATGATGGTTTTTAAAATAGTATCACAAGAGTTTAGGGAAAATTAGAGCTATTATCAAGTTCTTTTGAAAAAGTGACCCTTCTAAATAATAACTCATGTTAGTGAGTTTTGCTTTGAATTATTCATTATTAGAACAAATATTTGAGATACATAAGAGAACATAGTCTAAGTTCTTGCCCTTTGCAGTTCACATTATCCTATGTGTTTGTCAACAGAAGATAATAGACATTAAATATGTGAATTGTGTGCTTCATTAGAAATTGATTTAGAGAATTCAAGAAAATAAACCAAATGAGCAAAACTGGCCATGAACACCAGAAGAAAGAGTACAATTTAAATAGAATGAATAATGCAGACGTCATGTGGAATGTGAAATTTAAGCAAAAGCTGTAGGTAGATTTAGGCAGTGGTAAAGTAGACATCAAAACAGCTTCCTAATCTTTATTCTATGGCAAGAAAACATGTAGATCAAAGGTCCCACTGTGCAGAATTGTCTGATTGAGTCAAAGAACAGCAATAAGGTGACTAAATCCTAAGTTGCCAGAAATTATTTTGGTTTATCACTAAACATCTCTTGTGTTAGGAGATTCTTCCACTCCATGCAAATCCAAACAGTTGGTCACCACACACATAGAGAGCAGTGAGGCTGCAACAAAGGTGCTGGAAAGAGAAAGAGGATAAGGTCAAATCGGTTGTGCTAATCCTGGTTTAGGGTCTCTAGGCCTCTGTCATGAGGCTTGTTTCACTTGCATTAAAATAGGGAGCTGTTAAAGAAGTTTGAAGAATAGAAAATAGAAGCTAGAGGTTACTATTTAGGAGGCTAGCACCTCCACCATAATGAGTCCATGATGCATTATTATGTTACATTGCTGTGACCATAACAAATACTGTAAACCAGGTGAGGAATGCTGCGAGGAGGAAAGTTTGGGGGAGAAGATCAAAGGTTCAGGTTGTTGTTTGTTTATTTGCTTTCATAATTGGGATCAAACTCATGCAGGGCTTGAGCTGGAGCACTCATTGAGGCCTGTTCTGTGCTTGCTGGGCACACACTGGAGTAAGACAATTCAGGGTTGCAATGAACCCACAGCCACTGATAATGGGAGTTGGTGAGTCCCAGGGCCCTTGGCGGGAGGAAGCAGTGCAGCGTGGAGTAGAGCCAAGGTGGAGAGCTACAGTAATTCTGGGTGAGTGCTGGAAATTGGTTCCTGTGGTGGATGTGGCCAGCTAGAAGACATAATGGAGTTGGGCAGAATAGGACTGAGTCTGGTGCCACGGTGGCATTAGTCAGCTGCCCTTGGCCCAGAGAAGACTGGTGGGATCAGCTTGGGCTGAGTCATGCCTCTGGTAGGGACCTAATAGCCAGGATGAAACTGTCCCAAACTTATGACGTCCACAAAGCACAGGCTAAGTTGCTGAAGGCACTCACCGTTTGAATGGCTCAGAGGAGTGAGGCCAGCCCACAGTCCCTGTATGCACCTCAGATAACAGCAAAATTGAAAGGGCACCCATTCCCCAGCCAGCACATTTCAGAAAAACCATAAGCAATATAAAGAAGGCCTGAGAACTCCACCATACACCTGTCTGAAAGAAACCAGAAACATGACAAGAGAAAGACACAAGAAAAAACCTCCAGCTGCTGACCCTGGGAAAATAAGCCCAAGAGAGGTAAATACAGAAGAGAACCAGTGCAACAATCATGCAATATTGGCCAGATCATCAGTAGACATAAAAATAACTTTGTGACCTCATGAATGAACTTAAATTCTAACCCGAGGCAAGATATAAAAAGATTAATAAAAGCAATGTTAAGCCCTCTCAAGAAGACACAGATGGAAGAATGGAGGAACCCAGAAAAAGAAGAGAAACCCTAAATGAAAAATATAAACAAATTCTAGAATACATGAAACAGATCCAAAGAAACTACCAGGAAATTATTATTGCCATTGAAAGTTGGCAAAATGCCTTGACAGAAACAAAAGCTACCCTTTCAAAACTTGAAGCTAAATTTGCAATGTGTGATCATAAAAGAAAAGACCTCTTAAAAATAACAAGGAACCAGGAAGTAACAATTCAATCTATCAAATCAAGAAGAGCTTAGAGGGAAGTAGTCCAAGCCCTGAAAGAAAATAAACTCCAATCCAAATTGATGTACCCTGAAAAATTCTCTCTCAAAATTAATTGAGAAACAAGATATTTCCAAGGCAAGGAGAAACTGTGGGATTTCATGGCCACCAATACAACCCAAACAGGAAAAAAAAAACTAGCCAACCAACCAAACAAACAAACAAACAAAAAAAAAAAAAAAAAAAAAAAACTGAAGGACATTCGAGAGAGAAAGAAAAAACAATACCACGATTCCAGCAACAGTGGCAGAGAAGCCTGAAAGAACAGGGCAGACAGTAGAATGAAGGAGAAAAGTGGACAAATAATAGCAGAAAAAATAAAATAGCAGAGATGAGGCAGAGAAGGTGGGCTATAATCTTTAATATAGATAGCCTTGAAACACTAACAAAAATAAACACAGCAAGAGTAGATTAGGAGACAGGAGCCATCAAGATGCTCCTAATAGGAAATGTACTCAACGTGAAAAAAGGATTAATAAACTGAAAGTCAAAGATTCTCAAATGATACTCTATGTGACAGGGAACCAAAGAGAAGTAGGGATAACTTGTCCAGCAACTGCAGAGAGGTTGCAAAGTCATGACACTTTTTTGCAGTGGAGAACTACTCAGCAAGAAAGAAGGAAAACCTTGTGGCTTTAATAAGTAAAGGAATATAGTTCAAGATCAAGCTCAGGAGTTAAAACGTTCAGCACCACTCAGATAGATAATGGGTTGCCCCTCTAATCTAAAAACTAAAGGAGTTAGTGGGCTCCAATCATACAAAGCACCCTGATAAAGGGAAAGGGGAGGAATTGCTTAAAACGAAAGGCAGAGAACATTGTTAATAGTGTATCAGGATTTAAAAACCACATTAGTCTTATTGGTATGTTTTGTTTTGACTTTTCTAGTTTATTTGTCTTTTTATATATGTGTGTTAGGATCAACTTGTCCTTACCTACAAAAATCACAGCCATCCTTAATTTCCTATCAACTTAAACTAAAGCCCTGTATTACTTACACTGTCTTACTAGGACTGATCTTATTTGAAGCTGGTTTGTTAGACCGCTGTTTTGTCTTGACTGATTTTTTTTTTAATTTGGTATGCTTGATAGTATCAAGTCTAAGAGTAGAGGCAACTACTCTGAAGATGACAAGATATAATAAGACCCTCCACTCCAGTTTGATTATTAACTACTTTTGAAGTCCTACATGTCTCCAGTGCCGTGTTTTTATTAAAATTGCTATGTAATGCTATGTTCAATTATATTATGTCTCATGATGTAAATAATTCTATTAAAAATAACAAGAGAAAGCATAGTAACTATTGTAGATCATCTAATATTGTGGTTTTATATGTCTTTTTCATTTCATGTTTTTCTAGGAATTTGTTTTTTTTTCTTGTTTTGTTCTGTTTTTCCCTAAAATATAGAAAGGACAGATATACATATAGAGATTCACACAATTGGAGAATTTGTAAACAGTTTACGGGAACAAGTTATATAATGCACAATGAAATGAACAGATACTCTGAAGAAGAAGCGACACTAAGATACCCAGTGCTAATTTTGGAGCATTATGATATAAAATCTAGCAATACTATTATTCATTATTCAGAGTGATATTAATCTAGACTCTCAAGTTTAATTTCAGCATATGTAAAGATATTGACAGCTACTTCAAAGACAATGAGAGACATTATGGCAGCCATTCTTGACTCCCCCATGTCAGGTCTTGAAGACCTAAAAAGCCTTCATCATCCTGTTCTGATTAGATTAGTTCTACAATGTGCAGTATTTATTCAATGCGTGTGAAGATAGGGACAACTATTTGGAAGAAAATAAGAGACAATACAATAAAGAGTGAAGATCTCCAGTGGACTTACTTTGAAATCTGTTTCTTAAAACTGTTTCCTTATGATCTGTTTTGTAATGTTTTGTTTTATTTAATATTACCCTCTTAAAAAAAAAAAAAAAAAAAAAAAAAAAAAAAAGAGGGTGCCAGTGGATGGAGGCCCTTCAGCCTGGGTGAAGTATTTTTCTTGTTACTGAGACAAGATACTAAAGTTAGAGGAGATACTAAAGTTAGAGGAGATACTAAAGTTAGAGGAGATACTAAAGTTAAAGAAGACACCAAAGTTAAAGGAAGAAAGGCTCATTTGGCTTATAGTTCACAGAGATTTCAGTTCATAGTTGGCTGACAAGGTGGCATGGCAAGGGGCATTTCAGAGGAGAAACAGTCCATAGCAAGCAGGCAGGAGAGAGCAAGCAAGGGTGCTTAGCAACTTCCTTCTACCCCTTTTATACATTCTCTATGCTACTGTGATTAAGGTGGTACCAAACCAGTCAGGTGTCTAATTTTTTATTTTATTATTATTTTTAAAAATTTATCAAAAATAGAAATTCAAAGTCTTTACTTCTAGTACTACAAATGGATCACCTATGAATATACTCAGAATGTCGACTTCCCTCCTAAACATGATAGCTTTCCCCCACTGCTGAGCCTGCTCAATGATACTATCCAGAAGCTATGTGAAAGTATATGGAGGGGCTGGGGATTTAGCTCAGCGGCATAAGCACCTGCCTTGCAAGCAGGCAGTCGTGAGTTCGATCCCCGGTACCAATAAAAACAAAAAAAGACAAAAAAAAAAATAAATAAAGTATATGGAATACATGTGTAGGACATTTGCTTAAAGGAGGTCATAAGTTTTGTGTCCCTTATCACAATGACCCTAGATTCCTGTTGGGCGTGTTTTAAAATACAGAAGCCATTCGTGAGGCCATCTTCTCTGAGCACACACCACTGGACTGATGTCATAACCATACATCTTTCATCCCAGCATTTCACACACTCTACATCCAGCCACCTCTGAAAAAGCCTCACCTATTTCTCATGAGTCTTTGGGAGAACACTTAAACAGAAGCATAACACTCTGGATTTTTTAATCAGTCTAGGGAGAGCATGAGGAGGAACTGTGTTGGAGGCAAACTTCCTGATAAGGAGTGTGGAAATTTGGTTCTTGAATGACGTGGAGCAAATGAAAAAGGCCACAGTTATCACCATGCCCTTTGTCAACAATACCAAGTATGTCTGTACCTAAGACATGGCCCCAGGTCAGAATGTTAGTCATGGTATTCCTGGTCATCAAGAAGGACCAGAGAGATGAAGAACCACATGGTTTTCCTCTTCTTTGCTTCATTCCATATAATTCTTAGTTAGGATTATTGAAGGCAGATATGGATAAAGTAAGAACGCTCTATAAGACTAAATGAAACATCTAATTTTAAAGTAGCCAATTATTATATTCATCACCTATAATATTTCTGTTTATCTCCATGTCGTGAAATCTTCAGGAACAAATGCTTTCTTGAAATATTTTTTCAAAACCTCATAGTATCTCTAGGAAAAGGATTAAGAATTAAAACGAAATGGACCATCTGCAATCATTTTGGGAAATCCTAATTTAGGAACAAGAAGACAGACTTTAACTAAAAGATTAAACAACCTGAGATAAAGCTCACCACTGCCTTCAAAATTCGAGCATTGTTACTTTTGAAGCTCACTCTGTCAAAGGCTGTCCTAGGCGCCAGCAATTTCAGCCTTCTGCACGACTGCTCCTGAGAGCCCTGGAACACTGTCTTTCTGTAGACTGGCATCATTGTGGATTAGCCTTTCAGTTTCTTGCCAGCTCTTTTTCCCTTCCACATAAACAACCTGTCTGTCTCTACTTTATTTCTATCAAGCTGGAGAAAATGAGCTGAGGGAGAGGAAGAGAGAAAACTGACGGGATATATTCCTGACCAGCATTTGTTATGTACTCTCTAACTGATAAAGAAGCATGTCAAAGAATGACCAGAATTTGTAATCTCTCAAGACACAAATCCCATCTCGATTTGGATGAAGTTAAAAGAAATTTAACCTTCAGAAATTTATACTTGGATCTTGCTTTTGAAGGTCAGCCAATCCTATGTGATTAGCTTTTGAACCAAGATCTAAGGTTTTCTCTGCTTACTAAGATTATTTCTTGGTAAATAATTGTACACAGATAAAAATATAAAAATACAGTCTTAAATGTATCCTTAACATTTGGAATATTCAAGTATTCACTTTCTCACCTTTAGCACTACTGACATTTTGGATCACATTATTTTCTGTGGTGAGGGGCTATCACGTGGCGTCCCATAACTGTGACAATAACACACTTCGAAACATTGTCATATCTCCCCTGGGAGGCAAGTGTCCCTGTTTAGAATAATTCCTGTAATAGAAAAGCAAGTTAATGTTTTTTTTTTTTAAATATATATCCTCCTCTTGTATTTGAACAAATTTAGAAGTTGTTTTGCAAACTTAATCCTCTCTGTCTTTCTGTGTCTCACACTGATTGACTTCTGGAAACTCTTCCTTTGCTGGATATGCAAAAATGAAGGATCTGATAAAAATTAGACTCTGTATTCCAATTAACTGTAATTCAGTCTGAACTGGCTCTTTCACACATAGTGCAATCTTAATTGATGTTTATCATTAATTCAAAAACCCTATGAATTTCTCAAGTGGCTTTGAATAGCGAAAATAAAATTAAATCCTCTAAATGTGGTTCAAAGTTTAACTGTATTTATATTCTCTTTAAACTCTATAAAACTTGAGATTATGAACTTATAATCAGTCCCCCCATTCTTTGATCAGGAATGAGTTTAGAGTAATAATTTAAACCTGACCAAATTACATGGTGACTTTAAGATATAAGTTGAATTTACTATAGGATTTGTATTTATTCCCAATTTTATTTTCACATAGAATAGAATGCTTTCCAAGCTCCAGGTATTCCTCTGTTATTTTCTTTAGGAATTACAGTTTAAGAAAAATTGCACATTTGACTTTGAAACTTATATAAGGAGGAATTTCTATTGATAGCACAGACATAAGCTCTATTCCTCAAAATGAATCTCCAGGCTTCTCACAGCTGGCTAGAGTATGTAGGCTGTCCTAGTTTTACGATGGAGCTCTCAAGTGTTCCTGAGAAAACACATCAATTTGGCTGGTACTTGTCATATAATGAGTTATCATCATCTTAAATGCATGCTATATCCATAATTACACTATTTACTCAATGATCAAGGAATGTATATACTGGAAAGAGCAGAGTAACCTTATCTGAGTGATTAAGAAATAAGGTATCAATATTGTTCATGATACATGCAGAGTAAATATTGAGGAAAATAAATTATAGACAGGCACTTATATTTACTTGTAAATAAATAAATTCAAATAGGCTGCTATTAGTAAGATTCATTTTATCCCTGATTGTTACATTTTACCTGATGGAACTTGTACAACTAATTTATTCTTCGAGTGTTTCTAAAATGATTATCTAAAGAGATAGAAAAAAAAAAGGTGGTAAATGGAGGACTGGGAATGATATTTTAGATAGAAGTAGTACTGGGAGAGGTGGCATGTTATATTTTGGAAGTGCCTTGAGTGAAGTAAAGGACCAATCATGAAGACAATGTGCAGATAATTTCCTTCTGCTTCTCAGGCAGGGATAACAGGAAGTGTAAGTACACTGAGCCAAGACAATGTCAGGCTTGTGCTGTGGGATCTATAGGCTGAGGTGGATGTGGCAGGGAAATGAATGCATAATGAATGAGAGTAGAACTCCCTTAAAGACAGGCACACAATTGGAGTTGACTCTTTTATGTGTACTGGAATTATCACGATAAAGTTGTCATCAATTTACACCACATGACTTCATTTCTTTATTTGATTGTGCTGTTAAATGGCATGCATATTACTTTTTCATATGTCTTGAACGGAATTTCAATAGTAGTCTTAAAGACTACATAGAGATAAAAATGAGCACAGTCCCTAGAACAACAGAAAGAAACCTTCAGGTAGGACAAGCAGTTAAACAAGGGGGGAAAGAAGAAAGCAAACCACTGGAACATAACATGGCAAAGTTGAGCCAGTACATATCAGTGATATCCATAAATGTAAATGGCCTCAGTTCACGTGTCAAAAGAAGTAGGTTAACAGAATAGATTAAGAAACATGATCCCACAGTATGCTGTACGCAAGAAACACATCTGACTCAAAAGGAAACTCAAAGATTAAAAGTCAAAGGATAGGAAACAATATTTCATGCAACAGGAACCCAGAAAATAGCAGGGGTAAACATTCTATTTGCAGACAACATAAACTTCAAACCTAAAATGGTTAAAAGAGATAAAGAAGATCACTACATACTCAATAGTGAAAAATTCAAGAGGAAAAACTGACAGTTATAAATTTATATGCACCAAATACAGGAGCACACAACTATATAAGACAGATACTGATGGCCATGAAAAATACACAAGAACACAATTATAGCAGGGGAGCTTAACAACACACTGTCACAAAGAGATAGGTCAACTAGACAAAAAGTCAGCAAAGAAATAATAGAACTGAATCATACTTGTGAGCTATTGGACTTAGTAGATGTTTACAGAGTGTTCCACCAAACTACATCAGAATATACATTCTTCTCAATCTGCACATGGGACATTCTCCAAAATAGACCATATATTATCCCATAAAACATTCTTAAGTAAATGCAAAGATATTGAAATTATCCAATGTGTAATATCTGACTATAGCACACTGAAATTGGAAATTAATGGCAAAAGAAATTGTAAAGACTGCATAAATACATGGAAATTAAATAACAACCTTTTGAACAACCAGTGGGCTACAGAAGAAGTTAAAGAAGAAAAAAAGCAATACTTACAATTCAATGAAAATGCAGAAACAACATACTGTAATCTGTAGGATGCAATGAAAGCTAACTTAAGAATGAAATAGATAGCAATAAACTATCATATCAAGAAAAAAATGAGCACAAATAAACAATCTCAAGCTTCTAGAAAAAGAAGAGTAAGTTACACCCAAAGCTCATAGAAGAGAGGAAATTGCAAAGATTAGAGCAGAAATCAATGCAATTGAAAATTAAAAAGAACAGTAAAAAGAATTAATGAATCAAAAGCTGGTTTTTTGAGAGAATAGACAAAATTGACAAACCTCTAGCTAATCTTATAAAGCAAAAGAAAGAAAAAACCCAAATTCATGCAATAAGGACTGAAAAGGGGGAAATTACTACAAATTCTTTAGAAATTCAAAAGATCACAAAAACCTACTTTGAAAATTTCCACTCACACAGAATGGAAAACGTAGAGGAAATGGACAGATTTCTAGAAACATTTGAACTACCAAAGCTCAACCAAGAAGTATAGCAATTTTGAATAACCCAATATCCTCTATTGCAATTGAAAACATAATTAAAAACTTACCAACAAAGAAAATCCCAGGTCCTGATAGATACATGCCTGATTTCTACAAGAAATTTAGAGATTTGATGCCAATACCCCTTAAATTCTTCAAAGAATTGAAAAGGAAGCAGCTCTCCCTAAATCATTCCTGGATGCAAGTATTACTTTGATACCAGAACCAGAGAAAGACCCAACCAGGAGGAGAACTATAGGCCAATCTCACTAATGGACATTGATGCAAGGATTTCAATAAAGTACTGGCAAATAGAACGCAGCAAATCATCAAGAAGATTGTACATCATGATCAAGGAATACATCATTCCAGGAATGCCGGGTTGATTTAACATACACAAATCAATAAATGTAATATACCACATCAACAGAGTCAAAACAAAAACCACATGGTCATCGCAACAGATTCAGAAAAAAACTTTTGATAAAGTCCAACACATGTTCATGATAAAAACCCTGCGGAAACTCAAAATTCATGGTGTCTACAT